TTGAAGGCAGAGATCCGAGTAGCAGTGAAGGTTTTGATGCCCCGTGACTTGGGGGAGGCCATGAAGTTGGCCCAACTGGTGGAAAATCAGAGGAATTTGGAGAGGGGAGCCGGGAGTAGCAGCACTGGGGGTACTTACAGGATGACGACCACTAATCTAGCACCTAAAGGTCCTACAACAGGAGGGAGCCGAGAGGCCACCAAGGAGAAGACAAGAGGGAGCTGGGGAAATTTCAAGCGACTGACGGAGAAAGAGATGCAGGAGAAGAGGGCTAAGGGGTTGTGCTTCAGATGCGATGAAAATTACATGCCAGGGCATCGGTGCAAGGACCGAACTCTTCAGGTTCTCATCGTCTGTGATGACGAGGAAACTGAGGAGGGAGGTGAGGAGGACATAGAGGAAGAGATGGAGGATAAGCTACACTTGGATCTGGTTGAGGTTTCCCTGAACTCAGTGGTGGGATTCACCACGAATCACACCATGAAGGTGAAGGGAGAGATAGAGGACATGGAGGTTGTGGTTCTGATTGATAGTGGGGCCACTCACAATTTCATTTCCACCCAGGTCGTCGACCAACTGGGAGTGAGATTGGTGGACACCGGCTGTTACGGAGTGATGATGGGCACGGGGAAGGTGGAGAAAGGCCAGGGGATTTGCAGAGGAGTGCGACTGATGATCTAAGGGATACAAGTAAGGGAAGACTTTCTTCCATTAGAGTTTGGGAGCACAGACGTCATCCTGGGGATGAAGTGGTTGCAAACTTTGGGAAACACCAAAGTGAGTTGGGGAGCACTCACGATGGAGTTGACGGTGGATGGAAGGAAGGTAGTGATTAAGGGAGATGCGGGGCTTTCCAAATCCCTGGTATCTCTTAAAACGATGGTGCAAGACATTCAGTTAGCGGGCGGAGGGTATTTGGTGGAGCTGCACAGTTTGGAGGGAGAGAGATTGGAGGAGGGAGGAGACCTACCCCTCTCCATTCAGCTGTTGATTCAGCAGTTTCAAGAGGTGTTTCAGCCACCTCAGGGATTGCCACCGCAGAGGGAGCAGGAGCATGCCATCGTGTTGAAGGAGGGAGTGGCGCCCATCAGTGTACGATCTTATCGCTACCCTCAGTTCCAGACCGATGAAATAGAAAGGTTGATTAGAGAGATGCGCTGGAGGCAAAGATCATCAAACCTAGCATCAGTCCTTTCTCTAGCCCCATTCTATTGGTGGAAAAGAAGGATGGCAGCTGACATTTTTGTGTGGACTACAGAGCACTCAACAAGAAAACTGTACCTGACAAATTTCCAATACCAGTCATTGACGAGCTGTTAGATGAATTGAGTGGGACCGTGATCTTTAGCAAGATAGACTTGAAATCAGGTTACCATCAAATCCGAATGAAGGAGGATGTACCCAAGACTGCCTTTAGAACTCATGAAGGACATTATGAGTTTCTGGTGATGCCTTTTGGTCTCACCAAATGCCCCTGCTACTTTCCAGGCCCTTATGAATAAGGTTTTCAAACCTTATCTCAGACGATTTGTTTTGGTATTCTTTGACGACATCCTGGTCTACAGCAGGACAGAGGAGGAGCACTGGGAGCATTTGAAAAGAGTATTAGAGGTACTGCAGGAGCACCAGCTGAGGGCTAATTTAAAAAAAATGCTTCTTTGCACATGCCAGTGTAGAGTACTTAGGTCATGTGGTATCAAAAGAAGGGGTGGCAGTAGATCAGTCCAAAATTGAGGCCTTGCTAAAGTGGCCAGTGCCGAAAAATCTGAAGGAACTGAGAGGATTTTTTACTACAGGAGGTTCGTTAAGGGGTATAGCTCCATAGCATGGCCACTCACTGAGCAGTTGAAGAAGGACGGGTTCTTATGGGGGGAGGCAGCCACATAAGCATTTGAGAGCTTGAAGAAGATGATTACTATGGTGCCAGTCCTAGCTTTGCCAGATTTCACTCAGACCTTCATTGTGGAGACAAATGTATTAGGGTACGGGATGGGTGCAGTGCTCATGCAGAGTCGTAGGCCCATTGCCTATTTCAGCCAGGTATTGACTGCTAGAGCCCGGCTGAAATCAGTTTATGAGAGAGAATTAATGGCCATCATGTTGGCCATCAAGAAGTGGCGGCCCTACCTCCTTGGGAGACATTTTATTGTCAGAACAGATTAGCGAAGCTTGAAATTCCTGCTAGAACAACGAATGGTGATAGAGGAGCATCAAAGGTGGCTGTCCAAGTTACTCGGGTATGACTTTGAGATCCAGTATAGGCTTGGAGTGGAGAACAAGACGGCAGATGCCTTGTCCAGATGCATGGGGGAGCTGCAGACAGTGGCACTATCTATTCCGTTGATGCTGAACTGGGAGGCCATCAGAGAGGAAAGTGCTAGAGATGAAGGTTTGGAAAAGATCAGGTCAGATTTACTGAAAGAAGAGGGTAGCCACCCAGGGTATTCATTGGAGGGAGATAAACTACTATATCAGGGAAAATTTGTGATGCCTCGAACCTCGATCCACATCCCAAACTTACCCCAGGAGTTTCATGGAAGCGCAGTGGGGGGTCATTCAGGCATTCAGAAGACATACAGAAGACTAGCGGCGGAACTGTATTAGAAGGGGATGCGTAAAGATGTAGAGGAAATGGTCGCCAGATGTGAGATCTGTCAAAGAAATAAGTACCTAGCTATGTCACCAGGAGGACTACTACAGCCGTTAGCTCTACCGGGCAGAGTGTGGGAGGAGATATCTATGGATTTTATAGATGGGTTGCCCCGCTCAGAGGGGTTTATGGTGATCTTGGTGGTGGTGGACAGGTTAAGCAAGTATGCACATTTCATTCCCCTTCGACACCCCTACACAGCAGTGACAGTGGTTTCAGCTTTCATCAGGGAGGTGGTCAGGTTACATGGAGTACCCGAGGCGATCGTATCAGACAGAGACAATGTATTCCTCAGCCATTTTTGGAGAGAGTTGTTTAGACTGCTGGGGACAGTTCTAAAGAAGAGTACAACTTACCACCCACAGACGAATGGCCAAACGGAAGTAGTCAACAGGAGCTTGGAGACATACCTGAGATGCTTTGTGTCAGAGACACCCAAGCTATGGGTTAAGTGGTTATCATGGGCGGAGTACTGGTATAACACATTTTTTCATTTTGCTTCACAAATGATCCCATTCAAGGTGTTGTACGGATGGGATCCCCCACACTTGGTGCACTTTGGGAGTAGCAGTACTCTCGTTTCTTCAGTACAGGAATACTTGGAGGAGAGGGATCGAGTGCTAGAGGAGTTGAAGAAGCATTTACTGAGAGCTCAGCAAATTATGAAGAAACAAGCGGATGGGCATAGGAAGGACATTCAGTTTAAAGAGGGGGAGAAGGTGTTCTTGAAACTTCGACCATATAGGCAGAGAATAGTTGCCCACAGAAGGAATGAAAAGCTGTCTCCAAGGTACTATGGGCCTTATGAAGTGATGGAGATGATTGGGGCGGCGGCATATCGACTGAAATTACCACCATCGGCGATGATACACCCGGTTTTTCATGTCTTTCAGTTGAGGAAGGCCATCGGTGACTACACAACCAACCCCGATCTACCTGCAACACTTACCGAGGATTTAGAAGTGGTTTTGGAACCCTTAGAGCTAATGGGAGTGCGCCAGAAAGATGATGGAACTAAGGAAATGTTGATCCAATGGAAGAACCTTCCTGACTACGAGGCCACGTGGGAGCCATACGAGAGGACGAAACAACAGTTTTCGAATTTTCACCTTGAGGACAAGGTGGTTCTTTAGGAGGGCGGTAATGTACGCCTATGCTGGCTGAACTGGCCCAACCGGTTCAACAATTCTATAAGAGGCGGAAGTAGCCCGCCTCCTTCCTCCCTTTCCACCTATTAGGTGGGCCCCATCCAACAAATAATTTTCAAAAGGGAAAAGGGTGGGGCGGCTCAAGCTTTGGGAGGGAAAATTAATTAGGAAACAATTTGTATTAAAGTGCATGAGGGAATTAGGGAGTTTTTCATGTTTTGATTAATTGGGAATTAGGGTTTCTTGGTGCGAGGGCTCTAGACTCTCTTGTCTAGAGATTTGGGAGAGATGATCCTCCTCTCGAATTGAGGATCACTTGTATCTTGCTTTCGTGTGTGCTTTGATTTATTTCTTTGATTGCAAACTATCATTTTGTGGCTGATTTCGCCCAGATTTTGCGTTATTCTCGCTGTTTTCTTCCAATTAGTGATAGGTTTGCTTGCGAACTCAAGTATTCCCTTAGGGTTACTTGTGAACCAAGTATTTCCTATTAGAATTCATGCATTCTATACTTCCTCGTTTGAATGTGTGGATTAGCAAGATATGGCTGGCCCATTTTATCTTTTTTCAGACTAGGGAACCCAAGTTATACTTCACCCACAACAACAACAACAATAGGCCTTTATCCTACTATATGGGTTCGGCTACATGAATCATTTTTCTTCATTGTGTCCTATTAAAAGTCAAAATTCTCATCTATATTTAAAAGAAATGACATTTCTAATATTTCCTAACCGAGTCATCGGAAGGCCTTCATTTTATGTGACCAAATCATGCAAGGTGACTCTATCTAATCTTATCTTCCACTAGAGCTACTCCAACCTTTTCATGTATGTACTCATTTTGTATCTTGTCTCTAAGAGTAAAGCCACTTATCCACCTAAGCATCCTCATTTCATCTATTTTCATTAGTTTTTACTTCTCGCCATTATGTCATTTTCCTAGAATCTTTATTTAGCTTAGGAAACCTGGAAATAGAAAGTGCATTTAAAAGTCGTAAAATTGTTCCAAGCAATAGAATTAACTGATCATTTATCAACAAAACCACAGCTTTTTTTTAAAAGTCAATTTCCTTTTTTTTTAATTATTATTATTTTTTTAAGCATCAAATAAGATCAGTCAATTTCCTGCTTTTTTTTCCCTTAACTGGTGATTCAAATTAACTCTAAATATTTTCTATCGTACCGGTTTCTGACCTGCAGGCCTCTTCCATTACACCATAGACATATGGCTACAGCAAGCATACAGGTTTCTAATATTCAGTTCCTCTTAGTTATTTTATGTTTTTTTCTCGTCTAATACTGCCCAATGTGACTCTCTAGCTACAAAGAGCGGCAATTCTTTTGGACTCTGGCGCTGTTAAAGCCACTCGATTTTTGTGGCGGTATCCAGTTGCTCGTGTGTTGCTACTGTTTTACTTGGTTAGAATGACCTTTTTTACAAATGTTTGGCACTACTATTGAATAGGGAAAAAAATTGGGTGAGGATAATCTGATCAAATTTTTATCATTATGAATTTTAAAATCTTTGAACTTGCTTTGAGGTGAGTCTAATATAATAGTTGATTGATAATCCATATTTTACACAAATTTGATAAATTTTGGTTAGCATATCCCCACCCAATTTTCCTATGAATAATTGATATGACACTGATTATTTTATATTTGCAGGTATTTGTGCATCTGTTCTTGATGTACTTGTTGCATCGCCTTCAGGTATATAGATTTTTGGGCGGTTAAAAGTATTGGGATATATTGATCATTTTGGTGTCAAAATAGTTTTATAGTCATAAAATTCCTTTTGAGATTAATGCAATATATGATTAATTAATAAAAAATTATATTGCACTCATCTAAAAGCAAATCCAATGAATATGAAGTCCATTATGACCCAAATCAGTTCAAGATATCCCAATCAAAATATTTGTTTATGTAAGCTAATAACTTAGTACCTACTGATGAACAGGCACAGGCAGAGGATTTCTCAAGAGAAGTTGCAGCATCCATGGGCTTAGCCAATTCAGTCCTGCCATAGTTTGTCTTATCTTCATGTGACGGTAGTGCCTGTCCTTACCTCTTGTAAATGTTTTTGTTATTGTGTCAAGCTGTCATATATTTTTATTTTTATTTTTCTATTCTTTTTCGTTTTTCTTCATGGAAATATATATATGGAAAAAAAAGTGAGCAGAAAGAAATATATAGGAACTGTTATTTTTATTTTATTGGCCTTCTAATTGCTTGTTTCTTAATGATGTTTGCTTATGTGCTTTCTTGTTGCTGCGAGTTGCCCTAATATGCTGGAACAGCAGCTAATGAGAACATATCTCCAAGCATTGAAAATGCAACTAATTACCCTTTTTTTCTTTGTTAGATGTCTGAAGTTTGGCCTCCATGTCTGTTGCATGAAAAGAAATTATAGTAAGCCAAACTGGAGGGTGATATATGCTCATATTAGTTTTAGAATATTTTGGAGCATACAAAATTATAAATTTTTAAGTGAAATTTTGAAAAAAAAAATTTAAAATTGCAACTTGGTCCACTAATGATTAGGGTTGTAAACGAATCGATTGTTCGACAAATTATTTGAGGCTGCCTTAATTATAACTTGTGTATGGTCTTTTAATTAAGTAATTAAAGAAATTTGATTATTTTTTAAATATTTTATATTTTAATAAATAAGTTTGAATAATTATATAGTCAGCTCGTTTATGTTCATTAACAATATCATCTAACGCTAATGAATATGTTTGATAAAAAGCTCGATTCTTGTTCGATATGAAATTTGTGTGAAATTTTGTTAAATGTTTGATTTAAGAGATTTTAAAATACATAACACTCAAAATAATTTAAAATACATATTTAATATCCAAACTGTTATATTTATTAATATACCACATAAAATCTTTGTTTTTATCTTTTAAAACAATCTGTTAAGCCCTCGTTAGAAATTCACATACCATCTTTTGTTCGTTCGTATGAGGATTGTCTTCCCCATCCGAAGTCATTGCCTTCTCCATTTATTTCTTCTTGTCTGACCACTTTGTGCATCTGGATCTTCTTAGCTTGGCAAGGTTTGCAACTCGATGCATGGACCAACTCAACTGGATTTTATGGTTTTTTTTTTTCCGATTGATCTTGTCTTCATTTGTTGTTGTTGTTGTTCGTCTTCTCCATGTCGAATAGTTTTGCTGATTGTGTTCTCATGTCTTTGTTTTCTATGCTGTGTTTGGAAATTTAGAGATGGACGTAAGTTGTTTGATTGAATGCCAAGGCAACAGTTTTAGGTTGAATTTGAAATGCTTTTGAGTATTAGGCAGCAATTGAAAGCTTGATTAACTAATGAGCTACTTTATTTCTTTGTTTTGAAGATTTATTGTTATTGCATCCCAAGTCATAAAATCATTCTACAATGAGTTCAAGTTCCTCGGCAATGCTAATTAAAAACCTAAGTAATTAAATATATTAGCATTGATAATTGAAATATGCAATATATACATCATACAAATCGCGTAGTGGTGGAAGAAATTTTTACATATGCCCCTAGAATAGATTAGAAGATGATTGTCTTTTTCTTCGATGGTGTGATAAATTTAATGAATCAGCGTATGATATGGATTACTGAAGAAGTTTAAATGTTGTCAAAGCCAGCATAACTCATGTTGTTTCAGTTAGAGCGGAGCTTCTACAAATAAAAATCTTGTTTGTGATAGTGCTTATCCTAATTTTGATTGTAGCAATCACTGTGAGTAAATATAACTTTGAATCAATGTAACTTTGAGCTAATCAATAAAGCTTTGAGTCAATGTAACATATGTGTTCTATCTCTTGAATGAATAGCAATATGACTGCTTTGTCAATGGGTCTGAGTCTGAAAATTTTGTTTGATTGTAAGTAACAAAACAAGGAAAATTTGTTTGAACAGCAATATGATTGCTTTGTCATATTACAGTCCTTTGTACTGAACTAGTATATTCATTTCTTTTATGAAATGTTGAATAACTTGGAAAGCACATAGCAGCAAAATAGAGGCTTCTATAATCTCTACTAAATTGCAGTTTGGCAACGACACTATGTTAGAGCAGTAGTGAAAATTGTCAACCCTCTCGCAACAGAATTTTTATTTGGTCCGGTGAACGTACGTAGAGCTACGTTCGGCCGGCACTAAGATCGCAGGCACAAAACGAGAAATGCCGAGTAAATACCGAGCAATATTAATAATAACGAGAAATGCCATTATGTGAAGACAAAATACCGAGTAATATCGAGCAATACCAAGCAATACCAAGTAATCCCAAAAACTCGGTATTTTTTGGGATTACTCGGTATTGCTTAGTATTGATCTTCATAGAGCGGTATTCCTCGTTATTATTAAAGAATACCTAGCAATACCGACCAAATACCAAGCAAAAATCGAGTAACAATCCTCTGACCGAATGTAGAGCTACGTTCGGTCAGAGGACGTAATAAAAGTTCCTCGCATCACCAGTTAGAATGCTACAGAATATAGCAATACCTTGGTGTAATGCAATTTCTACTATGTCAATTAGAATGCTACAGAATATCAAAATAATTGTGCTCAGATTCTATGGAATGAAAGCTACATAATACAATTCTAAGTCAATAAACGTAAATGCTAAGGCTCAAAAGACTGAATAAATGTAATTTTAAAAAAAAAACTACTATTTCTCAGAAATCAGCTAGCATTCAAAAAAATTTGTCAAAATCTGCTTGCATTCAAGTTATTTTCTATCAATCCAAAAAACTGCAGTGGCTTGGAAGACATATATTCAATTTTGGCCTAGCAGTCGATGTAGTAGGCAGTTTTTCATCAGAAATAATCTTGTCACCTACAACATTTAATGGATTCTTACAGGTGCTTCTATGATGGGCCCATAAGTTACAGTGACTACACATGTCCAAGTTTTGTTTTCTTTCCAATTTTTAAGAAATTCTTAAATCACCTTTTTTGGGTTCTACCATGGGGTCAAAGTGAAGCTGGCATTGTAACTACCTCACCATCACTGACTGCAGCCTACAGATCCTTCCCGGGTAGTGTTGAGATTGTACCATTACATGTCATTTTGTATCTAATCATTAAACAAAAACTTTTTAAGATAACTAATGTAACAAACAGGCGGCAAATAAGTGGCAATTGAACAAGGCAAGTAACTTACCTAAACATGCAGTAGTGATCATCAACATACATATGTCATAAGGTATGTTGTCTCGTTCCAATGAATGCAGAACTGTGTATACAAGGTAGACCACTTAATTGTCAGAATCCATAACTACAATCCTTCTTTTCTATGTACGTCCACCTTGTTCTTTTCATGAAGTCTCTCAATTTCAGCTTTGCTTGAAGTCGATTGGTGAATTATAAAATGTTCTTTCCTTGTGATATCTCTGATATACTCTTCCGCCTGAGGGAATATACTCTTCCGCCTGAGGGACTAGTTGACCTCTCCAAGAGCCACAATTAATCTTTCTATGAGAGCGTTGTTCCATAAGCTTTGCCCTAATCATGTCTACCAAATCAACTACGGGCTTAATTCTAGCTTCTTCAACTCATGCATTAAAATACTCAAACATGTTGTTTGCATTATAGTAATTTTTAATGTGTTTTAAGAATATCGCCTTAGACCACTTGTACAACAATGAATTCAAGTAAGAGTAAACTTGTAGGCTGATTTTGAAGATCTCCTCAACTTTCATATACAAATCATGTAGCTTGTAAGTGTTTGTGGCCGTCTAAACCAAATTCTAAAGCTTGTTTCCATCTTCGCAATGAAATAGTTTTTTTACATTCTTCCATAGGTGCCTCATGAACACTCTATGCTTGGTATTTGAGAAAATAAGCTTTATGGCTTCACCAAGGTCCTTCTCCATGTCGGATATGAAGGCTAATTGTTCCATTTCACAACCAAAACTTTTCGACAAGTTTCTCAAGAACCACTCCCATGATTTATTGGACTCTGATTTAGCAACGGCATACGCTATTTTGTAGAGGCCATTATTGCCATCCAAACAATTTGCGGATAGGAGTATGCCAAGATACTTTGATTTAAGGTGGCAAGCATCAATTCCAATTAAATATCTATAACTAGTAATGAAACCATCAATACACTCTTTAAAGCTAACAAAGAATTACTTGAATGCATTTGTTTTGATGTCACACATGTATGTAATTTGAGAGCCAGGATTCCTATTAATTAACTCAGACCTCAGCATAAGAACCCACATATAGTTATCATCGACAGGTCCAGACATTATATCTCTTGCTAACTCCCTTGAACACCAAAGTTTCATATATGACAATGATAATATGTAACCTGTCTCCAAGTTATTTTTAGTACCCTTTAGCATGATATCATGATTTTTCTTTATAATGTCCTTGATTTCATGAGCTACCCTAGTAGTAGTAGCTTGCTTATTTCCAGCTCTATGACCCCAGGACATAAATGAGTTGAATATATTTTTCTAACTTCCAAGGAGAGCTCATTAGGACACAATGAGGCACATACTCTCCATGGGCAACCTTTGTATGTGCAAGTAAAAATTACTCTGGATTTGTCACTGGCCTTTATCTTTATAATATAATTCTATAAAATTGCATTAGACCTAACTGCTTGCTTGAAACTTTGGGAATCCTCTAACCAAAAACCAACACATAGACTATTTGGCTAATCAGTTTAAGGTATAAAGAACTCATCGCACAAATCATCTACTACAATATCATTATTTTCTCCTATCTTTGAGCTGAATTGATGCATTTTAGTTTGTGATTAGGACATATGTTCCTCGTGATATTTCACTCAAATCGCCACCTCAATTCTATTCCTTTCATAAGAATTGTCAAGCATGTCAACTACATCTTAATCGCTTGAGACCAATATGTAATTCTTAGGTGATGTTCCATTGACATGATAGTGCAAGTCGAATGATTAACCCCTTAGCCAATGACAAAGTTCTTCAACTCGTTCTTTTAGCACAACAAACTAATTTCATCTCTCTGAAGCTTTAAGGTTTTTTTACTTCCACCCACATACTGCATTCGAGCCTGACCCTGCACCTCACTCCAATATCTACCAAATTTGAGGACAATGAAGCAAAAAAGGCTTTAATTCATTTTTGTGTGTGCATATAATTAAAGAGTTATATGAAGTGAAAAAAGTGAATCAAAATGAGTTAGCCAAAGCGAACAAAAATTACATTTTCCTGTCAATTCAGAAAATTGTAATACTAAATTGTCCAAACTCTTAAAAGCAACCAATTGTATATTTTCACCAAAACCTAGAGATAATCACCAAAGCAAGCACTAAATAAAACTCTGCAAATTGAAGATGTTCAAAATGTCATCTTTTAG